ATATATATATATATAATAACAATTACCTGTATAGGTTGTGAACTACTAGGTACCCCAGTAAAAAATTGATCAAGAGAAGTGGCAACACATTTCTGTACTGAATCAAGTCTCACTTTGTCGGTGACATGCTTCCAGTTACGATCCTCATCATAAGCTTTCACATCCTCATCTAACTCCATTGACAATTGACGACGGCGACGGTTATTGATTAGTGGTGGGACATCTTCTACTGTTTGGTGATGGCTACTAGATCCTCAAACAACGTCACAATCATTATGAGATTTGATGGTTAACTTTGGCACTGGCTTAGATGGGAGATTTGACTTTAGCCCTTTAATTAAAACCTTCCTGATTTTAGTTGGTTTCTCTGGTGGGGAAATCGTGCGTTTAGATTGCTTTGAGATAGTTTCTTTCTGTGTAAATGGATCAATATATACATTGGACCACCATTTGGCATATGCTCTGGTAACTGAGGATTTTTGGTGGCTTAAGGTTGAAGGAAGTAACGCATCACAACCAGAAGAATAATGAACGGATGAGTTCCAATGCTTTAAAAATTCCTCTAAGGTGCAAGTACGAAAGTCATTTTTTAATTGTCCAGGAATATCTTGATGATACCCAAATTGTCGGCTAAATCTGTGTGGACTATAGGGCTCAATGATAAGATGGTCATTTTGGCGCAATGTCAAATAACATGATCGAAGATTGATTAGGGTGTCAAAGTCAGCCTTTGTCATCTCGCCATTATCTACAATAAGTCGCTCTTTTGAGGATCTTTTAGCCATTCGAGTTAAGTTTATTCCTTTACATGATCTGAATAAATTTTGGGCTTCAAAATGGTCAAAGTATCTTGCTCCTCCTTCGCCTGCATATAATGTCATTCTAGGCCAATAGTTGGTATTAGGAATGGTGAAATTAGTTCTAAAATATTCACTCAACCATCCGAATACATAGTGAATAGGAAATATCGCAGAGTAGCTTCCAGGATCTGGTGAGGAAACAATCTCGTTCAAGCCTCTGTAAATACTGGCCAGAACCGGGATGGAAAGACAAATGTTGCAGCCATCTGCTAACATGCTTGCGACCTTGAAAGTCCCAGGACGAATTATGTTGCCAGGGTGTGCAGGTAAGGCAAATTTGCAGAGCCAACATGCTAAAAAAGCAGCTAGATAAGTGGTGTCTCTCGATATTTCATCTACACCAAGGTTGATAAATACTTCTTTCTCTTTGGTGGACATCGACCGGATAGGAGGGATCACACCAGACGGATTTTAAGTTCTCATAGGGCGGTGAACTTTATTTTTTGTTGATTTCTTTGAAGGTTTGGCATGTCTTGATGCACCTTTAAACCAGAAATTAATCCAGTCAGATATCTTCACATTCTGATCTCCTTTATACTTCTTGGAAAGTCTGTGGAAGGCCAAAAATAGGTGTTGACAACTCAAAGGGATAGAATTTTTGTTGTTGCCAGCTCTTGATAGTTCATCTACACAAGGAATAACTTCATCATAAATTGTTCCTTGGTGAGGGAGACCACCTAGTATATATAGATCTCGAAGAGAAATTGATAGCTCGCCAATAGAACAATGAAGTGTATTAGTGGCTGGGCACCAACATTCAAGGAATGCTTTGAATACATCTTCATGACGATCATAGGAAAATAGGGAGGCGAATAAAGCACCATATAGTTGTTGTTTTGATAGAAAGTCGTGGAAACGCGCCAAGACATCTTCTAACCACTCCCAATATAGTTCGGTGTATAGCAATTCAGCAGGAAGTTTATAGGGAATACTCCATGATATTTCCTTCGCTTGAACATTAAGACCCAATAGTGAAAACTGGTTTTCTTCAACAACTCTCTCATGAAGTGAAGAATTTAGTATCAAGGCTTTAGAGACAATAGATTCTTCTTCATTAATCTGATCAGGACCAAAGTCGGTGAGTTCGCATGTGGCCGTGCATGTCCAATGAGATGAACAATGTTTATTGTTAGAAACAGGCACTTGAATAGCATTGCAACCAAAAAGTGAGTCATATACACTTAATGTCGTTCCTTGGACTCGTTGACTATTTTTGCTCTCTAAGATAGTCAGCTTTTGCTTTGCGAAACACTTGAACACCACCATGATGGATACCAAAGTTCGATCGATGTTGTTTAGAAAGAGGATTTCAATTTCTGTTATGGCTGACAAAACCAATTTGCTATACCTTCTCAAGTCCTTTAAAAAAAAAAAAAAAAAAAAAAAGAGAAAAAAAAAGAAGAAGAAGAAGAAGAAGAAGAAGTTAAAAAGCGTGAAAAAAAAATCTATAGTGAAAAAAAAAACAGAAGTTAGAAAGCGTTAAAAAAAAAAAAAAAAAAAAAAAAAAAGAACATTCATACCTATGTGTTCATGCAGATGCTGCAATCCAACACAATCGTCAGAGGCCGCAATCTTACAAGTTCTTCAGAACTGATTGAAATTGATGTCAAACCCTATGACTTGGGTGGTATATATAGGCAAGAGATTTGTATAAATTGGAAAGTAAAAATCCAATAAAAAAAAAAAAAGTTGGATACTTCAAGTCCCACTTGAAAAAGGAGACAAGTCCTGTTAAGCGTAGAACTTGAAGTGGGGGCAATTTGTAGACACTAAAATTTAGTGGGCTTTGGTTTTAACGAATGGACCCATTAAATATAGGCCTAATGTTTAAATAAATTATTTTACCAGGCTTGGTCCACTTAAATTATTTAATTAGCCTAGTCCAGATAATTAAATGAAACGATAATTATTCCTAATAAAATATATTTTGAATAATTATCTTTAAGGATAATTATCACAATATAACCGGCCCGGCCCAGTTATAGTTTTTTTTCTTATCAGGAGATGACACGTGTCATCATCCTATTAATCCAAGAAGCCTATAAATAGAGGCTTGGAGGAAGAAAAAGGGGAGAGGATTCAGAATTCAGAAGTTTACAAATTCAGACACAAATTCAGAATTCAGAAGTTCAGAGACTCAGAAATCCAGAGACTCAAAATTTAGACACAAATTCAGAATCGAAACCCAAAAGTGAAGAATATCAAGCACATCCAACAACGTGCCGTTCTTCATCAAATTCCACAGTGATTCAAGAACAAGCTCGTGCAGCCCTTGGATCCAACCAACCAAAAACAAGGAGATCGAATCAGAGGACCATTCTTTTTTTGTAAAAGATATTACAAAGTACTGTACTCCATATTCATAAATTAATAAAATTCTATTTGCTCCATATTTTGTTTCTATTGCAGACTTACAAAATTTGTGTGTACACCAGATCTCTTAGACATGTGCCTTTTATTAAATAATTTTTTAAAAATTGAACCGAATAGAATTTTTGTATAATTTTGTGAGTAACAAACGAAACAAGACCTTAATTTTTTAATTTTAGAAATACAATATTTTTATTTACTGAAAATATTGATAACATGGTATCACTCAATACTTAATCACCTCGCTAGACTTTCTTAATTCTTCATACACAAATAGGAAACAGAAGGGATAAACTGCATACAGATTCTACCTTTTGACATCAGTTCCACAAAATGATTATCTCTTCAGATTAAGTTTAATCAGCATTTTCAAGTTTAGTAATACTAATATATATCTACCATTGCATGTACTAAACATAGTCTTGGCCTTTATTATTGAACTCAATTGGTAAAGCTGAAAGGGCTGTCAGTGGAAGTAAGGAACCCTAGAACCTATAATAAGTTGTGGAGCTATCAATCAAAGCCAACAAAGCCATTAAAGAAAGCATATATTAGGTTTCATGTTGATTACTTTTTGAAGGCTGCACTATCAATCATGATACAAATGCAAGGAACCTTTATAGTTGAAGATTAATGATTGATTACTTATGAGATTTCCAGCAAAACCACTATGTTTTTTTTTTTCAGTTTATACAGTTCAATTATACTTGGCATAACATGTGCGGGCTACTTTGGTTGCTAATGTTCCCACAACTTGCACATTCTTCCTTTCTTTTTCTTTTTGTTTATTTATTTACTATTTACCTTCTGTCGCCCCATTTTTGGGGTGTAAAATACATTTGATTACATATTTATCCTTCACAATTGAAAATGCATTTTTTTTATTAAAAAAATTGGTAAATGAAAATGCAGTCTTTGTTGGCTCTAAGCTACACTATGGATTCTTGAACTTTTAGACTACGGAATCAAAATTATTGATCATCATTATTTTTGTCTTAATTACACATCCAATAATGTAAAAAAATATAAAAGAAAAATACAAAGTTTTTTTTTTTTTTAAAAGGTAAGCTAAGAAAAATACAAAGTTGATTAGACAAGTCATTGTTAAACATTGATTCCGTTAATTAGGGCCCATTTGACAACTATTTTTATTTTATGTTTTTGACTTCATACGGAACAAAAGTAGTGTTTTTTTGTAATGGATGTGATTTCTTCTTAAACAAAAATATGTTTACTGATTAAATTCGTTGCACAATATTTTAAAGCAACAACTATAAAAAAGATGTTTGGATTAGAGTAAAAAAATATATATATTTACATGATATTGGCTTTTATGAAAGAATCCCATTATTATTAAGCTATAGCTTGCATAAAAAACAAGTGAAAACGTTTTTTCTTAGTTTAAGATTTGATTCTTTTTAGAAACAGTTGCGATATTGTGCAAAATATAATAAATATTTCTAAACATGCTTTTATCATTTTCATCGATTTGACAACAAAAGCACTCAACAAAAAATGGTCGTCGAACATGCAAAAAGAGTGAAAAGGGTTGATCAATTGGACACAAACTTAACTTTTGATTACAAATTACATAAAGATAAAACAATGATGTACATCTTGTTATAAGAAGCAAAAGGATACCAAATAATCCAAGGTTCAATTTACAACAAATTGCATCTGTACAATGTTCAACCTCTCACTTTGCATGATCTAGACAATCTCTAGCTTATAATATTTTAGTTTTCATTTTGATTATTGGCATAAAACAAATTTTAAAAAGAAAAATAAAAATTCCATAACCCTCTACTGTGTAAGAACATTGAGGAGTGAAACCCTAGTGTTGATTAAACTCCTAAACACTTTCTCACTACCACTTTCAATCCCACAAATACAATCCTCCAATTCATGCATTTTCTTCAACACCATCCTCACTTCTTCATCACCCTTCTTTCTCAAACCCCACAAGCTATCAACACCAACTTGTTGGAATTCTTCAATGCCCTCTTCAACCTTCACTTTCTTTGCCCTTTTTGCCAATTTCAATCCCATCCATGACGATTTTTGCGACGTAAACGACGATGATATTCCATTAAAAACCGTGACTGAAACTAGTACTGTCACTTCATTAACATCTCTTATAACTTCACCAAGCTCTGTATCATCAATGGGTACGGGCACCGGACACCGTCCGATCGATCGGACGGTGGACATGAGCTTGCTCATTTCTTTAGCCATTTTCTTCATAGCCTTCACGTACAATGCTATCTTTGAATCATCTCTTCTCCTTGTGGCTACCTGGGCCGCCATTTGTTCTTGCTGTAATGTCATGATTAATGTTTGGAACATTCCATAGACGTCGATGAAGCGGAGGAAGTCTTCTAGAAGCTTCTCCACTGTGTCGGAGTGGTGGCGGAGCGAGTCATGAGTTTGAGGGAGGCCGAGGATGTCGTCGAGGGACTCGTGGATGGTCCGAAGTCGGCTCAAGCCGTCGCAGAGCCAAGCCGAGGTTCGGGCGCTATTGGGGTTGGATCCCCAGGTTCTGAGCTCAGTGAGCTCGTCCTTGAGCTGAGAGATCAAGGGGTGTGATCTGCAGGGAAGACTGGTTGATCTCACGTGGAAGGTCTTTCGGGGCTTTGATGGACGGTTAGGATTGTTCGGGAAAGAAAGGGAGCGTCGGAAACTGCCTACAACCATCTTGGAGTTTGGTGTTTCTCTCTCTAACTGCTTGGTGATGAGTATGAAATGAATGGTGATGTGGTTTATAAAGGGTGGACAACGCGGAGAGAGATATATGTTTTTCTATATTGTGTGTGAATGTGTGTGTATATAGAGAGAGAGAGGCGCACGAGGGGGTTTGGGGTGGAGGAGACTGGATCCGCGAATAAATCGAGCTGTTACCAATGATGTGTGGGGAGGTTTGTTTATGAAGAGAGGTGTTGATGGTTATCTTCTGGAGGAGTCAGACACACACGACTTGCATGTGACACACTGGCCTTGCTATTTTATTGAGCTACATAGCTGTTTTTATTTTCTTATTCCATTGCTTTTTACCACTCTTAAGTTCTTAAGAATCTAGAAAGTAAACAATTTTCTTCACATGTTAATTACATGTATAAATAAATAAAACATACACTTTAGGTATTAGAAGAGAATGCTTTATTTTTTAAAATATACACTCTGGGCTTGTAAAGTACACGGTACCACGTCTAACAACTTAACCCTTAGTGAATTAGTGTACATGACGAGTTAAAAATCGCGATAATTATCAGTATTACACATTGAATCACCAGGATTCAATTGAAATTAAAATGAAAAAAATAAAGATTGCAACTGTCAAACCAATGTGTGAGTACTTTTAATAAGAATTTAAATATAGTTGAATCAATGGATTTAATTTGACGTGTGCAATGTCAATATATATATATATATATATATATATATATATATGGTTAAGTGCAAAAAACTCATTGAACTTGGGGGTTGTGCAACTAACTCCCCGGAACTACAAGAAACCCCTTGAACTTTTAATTTATTGTAAATTGTCCATCCTCCACGGGCCGCTATCAGCACCCATCATTGTCATCACCAATCCTGGTCAAAGTGGCATCGCCAACTCCCTAACTTCGTTGCCGCTCTTTGCAAATCGAGAGATCTCTTTGCAATTCGTCATCGGAAACCATACGCTGCTGCCGCTGAAAATTGTGTCGATCATCGAGCGAGAGAGAGAGAGGGAGGTGAAGAAAGAGCTTGGCGGTGTAGAGCACGGTTGTGGAGATTTCGGCCGGTGGAGTGTTCGGCGATGCAGAACAACGACTAGAGAAGTAGCGATTCCGGTGCAAATCAGAGACTGGCACAGCGGCGACAGATCCGGTGTTGGCGACAGCGGCTTGTGCACGCCGGCGATTGACAGGAAAGTGGGCAATATGGGCTGTGGATGAACTTTGGCAGTGCTCGAATGGGGGCGAGACGGCGACGGTGAGTTGTGGAGAGGACTCAGCTGCCATGGGGTGCTTCGTGGCGTGATGGCATCGGTGAGCTTGCCTTCGGATGATGCAAATTAAGGGAATTTTAGTCCTTTCATCCGTCCAAGGGTAGTATGGTCTTTTAAAATAAGTCAACTATTTTTAACGGTCAACATTCACCGGAACTTGGCTGAATGAGATGATTTGCAACTTTTTTGCATGGTTCAGAGGGTTTCTTGCATTTTTGGAAGTTTAGGAAATTAGTTGCAAGTTTTTCCATAATTCAAGGATTTTTTTTGCACTTAACCCATATATATTGTATATATATTGTAATACAATATATATAAGCAGGTCAATTTATAATATATATAAGCAGGTCAAGACTTGACCATAGTGGTGGTCCAAAATCAATAACTCTCAACCTGCAAATTGAAAGAAAAAATAAATAATAATAAAATGTTTGGGGATTAGGTACTCCAAATATGTGTAAGAATGGTAAAGAGTTGAGGTGGCGTGACTGTTGACCAAAGTTCCATGTGCTCAGTATAATCATTTATGTTCTAATTCATCTTCCCTCTTGGGGGGAATATCACAGATACAGCGGCCATTACCAAACATGACAGAGAGGCTAGCCTGGAATTGTCTCGGGGTCATTAACACAATAACACTAGTTGTGAACTTTCAGAAAAACAGTTTCCAAATTAGTCAAGAGATATTTATGGTGTTCAATTAAGACACGAGATATTTATGGTGTTTTGTTGGCAAAATTCTGGTAGCATATGTAATGCATGCATTTGACTCAAAAATGTTTTCAGAGTTTTATATTTTTGGTTGTGTGTTAATGGAGTAAGAATTCACAGTGGCACCGAGTCATCACATGTGGACAGCGTAGACAATGTTTACCAACTCGTGAGTCTTGTATATTGGCAAGGAAGTTCCAAATATGGTTGAGGATTTTTAGAGGTTTGGACTTTCGAGTATTTGTTAGTTTGTCCTATATATTAATTATTATTTTCATTTTTTTCTTTTCATGATTGAAATATTCATTTTATTCTCTTTCTATACATATTCAAATATATATTAAATACTCTTGAATTATTTTTTATTTTTTTTTTAAGTAAACATTCAAATCCTAAAGTTTGCCATATTAATTTTGTTTTTTTGTCACAGCGTTGAGATCTTCTCCTTTAAATCACTATTTTCCCGGTAACATTCCACCGGTATCTCGTGTCAATTGGGAAAGGTCCACTCTTCGAGTGGCTGAATCCAATCTCGGTGTGTGTTGGTGCGTTCTGATTGACAACGATTCTATATTCTTCAATATCAGTTTTCTCATCATAAAAGCTCAGTTTTAACCATTTCTTTGATAATCAAATTCAGACTTTTAATTTATTTTTTTCTCTGCCATATCATTACGTATTTAGTTTCTTCCAATATCCCAATCATTTAATTACAATAGTATATTAAATACATCCTTAAAATAAAGAACATTATATAAAATGTTATGTCAAAATTAAGCAAATATTTTGTTAATATACTATCTATACTAGATAAGGTGTGATTGCCTTTTATGATCATCCTATTTGCATGAATTTTGAACGAACCTAGATGTGGCTCAATCACTTGCCATTTGCATGAATTGTGAACTATCAGTGGCTCCAGTCGATGAGATTTTGACGTGTCATTAATGAGATATCCAAAATAAAAAATAAAAAACCCGTTTGAAAAAGAAGAAAAAAAAAGAAAAAAAAGGTAATTACACGTGTCAATTCTAATTTAATAGCTAATCTAGCATCTCTCACCTTCATCAAATGCGGCGAAGCATGCTGAAATCTAGGACCAACCATAGTGACCATCCAGCTACGTTCTAATTTTTGTGGAAACAAAGACTTAGTTCTTCGAGAGAACTATTGACAACTTCGGCTAATAGCCTTGAAAATTCATAGTATTTCCCGAACATAATTCACCCTATTGGCCAACTTGGTCTATCCAAGAGCCCATTTATCATTTGGGTTGGGTCAGATTCAACTTTGGATTCACTGGAAAAAACTTTTGTGTAGCACACATTTTAAGGAACATTGATCCTTGCAAATAGGTCCAATAATATGGGCTTATATAATTGGAAGGCACGTATATTGGGCTGGACCTACCAAGATTTCGTTTATCTCTTAAACGTCCTTTGTTATACCTGTAAAGAGGTCCTTTATACCGGTTGTTGGGTCTTCTTGGAGGATGCCGTCTCTCTAGCCTTGTGGCTATTCTTAGCTATTGTTAAAGAATTTTGGTGGCTGGGAGAGTGGCTGAGGGACAAAACAACATCAACATTATCGATTTTAGGCCCAATTATATATATATATATATATATATTAGGGGTGAACAAATAATTCCTGAATCTACAAATCTAATTCGATTCGTGGGAAAACATATTATATATATTAGGAGTAAACAAATAATTAGTGAATCTACGAATTCGATTTGATCCGTGGGAAAACATAGTACATTAGAGACAAACGTTTTTTGTTACAGAAAAACAAAAACATATTACTATACATGTTTGTTGTTTTTGTTTTGTCTTTTTAGGACTGACAACAGAAAAAAGAAAACGTTTCCGTTACTAAACGCAATCCTCTATTAGATATGGGCATGCCTTAACTATTTAAAGGGTAATACTGTTATTTTTAAAAAATTGGTTGATTTTCCATTATTGCGTGAACGGAACAGTAATGATTTGTGGGATTTTGCAAATATATATATATATATATATATATATATAATAATTCAAAAGTATAATAACTGTAACAAAAAAATAGCTCAGATGTTTTTGTGAGAGAAAATAGTACAGGTCTTTTTTTTTTTTTTACACTTTACTTGTGTATAAGTTGCACCAATACCGGTCTGTCTAACAAGCTAACTTTATAGCATATGTAAGTATCGAGTTAAAATTCACCTGACCATGATTAGTTTTACATTAAATTTTGCCACCAAGAGGGATTCAATTGGAAAATGGGAAATATAAAGATGGCAACTGTCAAATGAATTGGAGAGTATTTTTAATAAGAATTCAAATATTGCTGAATCACTTGATTTAATTCATTGACAAAATTTAATTTGATTGGTGTAATGTCACTATAATACAATATATAAGACGGTCAATTTATTTCCAAAATCAAGACTCGGAACCCGGACTGTGACAATAGTGGACCTAGTGGTAGTCCAAAAACAATAAAACTGAACGTGCCAATTGAAAATAAAAAAATAAAAAAAAATGTTTTCGTATTAGGTGCTACTCCAAATATGTGTATGGTGAAGACTCGAGGTGCCAAAGCCCCATGTTCTCAATATGATCACGTACATGTACCTTGTAGTTCATCTTTCTCAGCATGACAGGGGCTACCCTGGAGTTGCCTTGGGGTCATTAAAGTCTCCAGAACTTTAAAAAACTGTTTCTAATTAAGTGACACAGACATTTACATGTTTTGTTGGCAAAATGATGATAAGACATGGGAGATTAAGGTTTTGTTTATTTCTACGTGAAATATTTTTTTTCAAATAAAATATTTTTAAATTTTTTATTTTTTTGGTATTTGACAAAGGTCTAGGTCGAAGTTGAGGTCGAGTCTATCAGGCCGGACATGTAAAATAACTTTTCAAAAATTGATGGATAAGTTATTTTTTGTTAAATTTTAATATTTTTTTTTCTTTATAAATATTTTACGACAACCAAATACCAAAAAAATA